AGCAGGAAGGGGGGAGAGGACTCCTCCCTCTGGGCCTCTCTAATAAGGCTTTGATTTTTCCTGCTCTGTGCAAAGCCATCTCGCTGGCTGGCACCCAAGCCCTTCCCGGGCGCTGATTAATAGCCTGCATCTGGCGCCGGGCACAGGTTGGGGAATGAATCTCCCGGGTGCCAGCCGAGCGCGAACCAGAGCGTCCACCGCAGAGCTGGAATCACGCCTCACCTCCCGCTCTGGAGCAACAGACGCAGTCCTTTAGCTCCGGTCCTGAGGCAGGTCACTAGTGACATGAATTTGTTCAGGCTTAGCAGAGTTGGCAGGGGGAGTTACAAAAGCACCCTCCCTGGTCACATGATTTGTGGGCTCCTTGCTGGATATGGAGCAAGGGAGGGAGGGGAAAAGGGGTGTGTATGTGTGTGTGTATGTGTGTGTGCATGTGCACACACACACACGTGTGTACACACGCACGGCTATAGCGTCATCGGACCATAACTGCTGCCATACTGGGCACCTGTCTAGCTAGTGTTGAGGAAGACATGCGTTTCCCACCTCAGGAGAACTGAGATGTTGAAAAAAAAATTCCAACCCTGCATTAGGACAAAGTCAAACTCTCGCACATTTTCACAAACGGATTGCACACCCACACACACACAAAATCCGAGCGGGCCAATGAAAAGACTTGGTTGTGAGAGTCTCGACACATTTCGATTGTGACTAAAAAAATTCATGTATGTAGAAATCGAGGAAAAGTTTGAAACCAACGGCTCTTAGGAATCAAAACCCACCACCGTGCATGTAGAAAAAAGCCAAACATCCCATTTCAACTCTTTCGAAACTTTGTTTTTTTCCATTTCCCACCTCAATCAGTAGTCCAAACTGCCCCCTTCCCATGAACCGTTTTGGTTTTGACAAATCAGCTTTTTCGGATGGAAAAGCATTCCCGGTCAGCTCCGCAGCTAGCCTGTTCCCGGTATAAGCCGGTGGCAACTGGCGTAAGAGAAAAATCCGGTTGGGAAAACCTCAGGGGAAAATTTTCCTCCTGACCCCTATTAGGGATTGGAACTCATGCCCTGAAGCATGAAGGTTTCTAATCCTTCCAAAGTTTGAAGCTATTTCTTTTTCACAATTGCCAGCTGTAACGCAGGCTAGTCTGACGACATTTTTCTGGGCTTTGCTTTTCGGCGTGCTGTGACGCTCCGGGCCTCAGCCGCCACTTCCTTTGCCGACCATCCAGCTTTGTGGATTGGCCCCTCTCATGCTTGCAGTGGCAGGAAAAGCCTTTGGACAGAGCTTTGGCTAAAGCCGACACCGTCCTCTGCCTGACGCACTGAGGATGAGTTTGAAAATCCAAACCCCCTTTGTTAAAAGTGGTCGGCCCGTTCGATGCAGATGGAGAGAGGGGAGGGACGAGGACCCTACGCCAGCCGCTGCTTGGCCGGCGTGCAGCGGGGAAAAGTCGCACGGGGCTTCTCGTCACGGTTCCAAGCCTGTGGGTAAGCGGGAACCCCCCCTCACCCCAAAACAGCTGCTGCGACCTCTGTGGGCAGTGCTGGGGCTGAGCTGGGCTGCTCTCGGGGGCTCCTGAGACAGGCCAGGAGATGCCCATCCATGGAGCCCGGCTCTCTCCGGCCTGGGTGCAAAGCCAAAGTCAAGGGGAGCCCAGGTGCAACTCACGGATGAGGGAGGAGGTTCCCCCTCTCTCCCCAGGAGCAGGGGGGGTTCTGTGGGCTGGGGGTGCCTGGGCTCCAGCTGCTTCACTCAGAGAACCCCTGTGGAAGAACCATGCGAGCGAGTGACACGGCTTGCCCATGACTCCCAGAGATTTCAGCCTAAAAATAGGTGCGGGGGAGGGACGGGGGTTATGATCCACCCTGGTCGTGGCAGGGAACTAGCCCCCACCCAACTACAATGGCCAGGCCAGCTCCATGGGGTGCCCGGATACCATGGTGATGGGCATGGGCAACAGGCAGCCTTGCGGATGAGGGGCTGGACCGGGGCCTTGAAGGGGCAGGGCTAATAGCTAGCACTGACTCGCCAACCTTGGCTCCCTGCTGGTCAAGTTTCCCATCTCGGGGGGGGGAGGGGGGTACGGGAAATCCACGGGAGGATCCCGGGTGCCAGTCCGAGGAGGTGGGAATTGCTTCCCATGCCTCATTTCCCGCACTACTCCGAAGAGAGGCGCCCCCTCCTCGCTCTGTTCGAGACCCACGCGGGCATATGCAGAGGGGAAGCGGATCCAAAATATACGGTGGGGCGGGTCAGACTGGCATTGCCTGGACAGCCAGCCAATTCGGTGTAGCGCGCCACGGCAGGGGGCGCG